ATCATCATCATCATCATCATCGTCATCATCATCATCACCATCAGCAGCAGCAGCATCAGCATCATCATAAGCAGCTGCATCATCATCAGCAACAGCATCATCATCATCAGCATCATCATCAGCATCATAATCATCATTGCCACCATCATCATCAGCACCAGAATCTTCATCAGCATCAGCATCATCATCAGCGTCAACATCAGCATCATCATCGACAACGTCATCATCAGCATCAGCAGCAGCAGCATCACCACCATCATCATCACCATCATCAGCATCATCATCAGCATCATCATCGTCGTCGTCATCAGCATCGATATCAACCATAACGACAGCAGCAGCAACCGCAACTACAACCGCAGCCACAACAACCTCAACAATCACAACAACACGCAGTTCTGGGGTGCTGTCCTCGGGAGGGGAGGATCTCGCACACCTCCGCCTCCTCCTCCTCCTCATCATCATCCTTCTGCTCATCATCTTCATCATCATCACCATCATCATCAGCAGCAGCATCAGCATAAGCACCTGCATCATCCTCAGCTGAAGCATCATCATAAGCATCATCAACTTCATCATCATCAGCATCATCATCACCATCCGTATCATCAACGTAATCCTCATCCTCATCATAAACATCCCAAGCAACATCACCATCATCATCATCATCATCATCATCAACGGCATCAGCATCGTCATTGCCATCATCATCATGATCATCATCATCGTCACCACCATCATCATCATCATCAGCATCATCAACATCATCATCAGCATCATCCTCACCATCATCCGTAACAATAGCAGCAGCAGCAACCACAACCACAACCACATCCACAACCTCAACACTTTCACCAGCAACACTACGCAGTTCTCGGGCGCTATCCTCGTGAAGGGGAGTATCTCTCACGCCTCCTCCTCATCCTCCTCCTGTCCCTCCTCATCCGCATCAGCATCATCAGCATGATCATCATCATCATCATCATCAGCATCTGCATCAGCATCATCATTAGCGCTAGCATCAGTATCAGCATCAGCATTAGCATCAGCATCAGCATCATCATCAGCATCATCATCAGCATCATCAGCATCGTCATCGTCATCGTCATTGTTATCAACACCACCATCATCATCATCAACAACAACATGTTCACCATCATCATCATCGTCATCATCATCAGCATCAGCATCACCATCATCATCATCATCACCATCAACATCATCATCATCATCATCATCATCATCATCATCATCATCATCATCATCCTCATTCTCATCGTCATCATCATCATCATCGTCGGCATCAGCATCAGCATCAACATCCTGATCATGATCGTCATGATCATCCGCCGCCTCCATGTCCGCCTCCGCCTCCTTCTCCTCCTCGTCCTTGCCCCTCTCGCCGTCCTCAATTGTCGTCTCCTCACTCATTCCCATCCTCCTCCCCCTTCTCCTGCTCCTGCTCTTCATCATGCTGCTCCTCCTCCTCCTCCTTCTCCAACTCTTCCTCCTCCTCCTCCTCCTCCTCCTCCTCCTCCTCCTCCTCCTCTTTCCTCCTCCTCATCCTCATCCCCCTCGTTTTCCATTCGCTCCCCCATCCCCCTCCCCCTTCCCCCTCCGCCCCCTCCTCCTCCTCCTCCTTCTCCTCCTCCTGCTCCTCCTCCTCCTCCTCCTCCGCCTCCTCCTCCTCCTCCTCTTCCTCCTCTTCCTCCTCCTTCTCCTCTTCCTCTTCCTCACCCTCCTCCTCCTCCAACCCTCCCCCCGACCTTCACCCCCCCCATCATCCGCCATCCTGCCGTGGGCACCGCGGGCAGTTTCCGCAGGCCCCTTGGGGTCTCTGTGCCGAGCACTCTGCTTGCTCCAGATATGGGCCCAGAAACCCAGCTGCAAGAGGTCCGAGGTGGGGATTTGTCTATATCCACCGCCGTCGGAACGGATCTTCATGGACCTCGGGGGGGGGCGAGTATCGATAATGCAATTGGGCCCCACCAGGGCGAATAGATCCACGCCCCCACAGGTACGGGAAGACCAGTTCCGCATGAGGTGGACATGGATAGATCCCCGCTTCGCACCACAGTCACCGCCGCGCTACCAGAACGAACGCTGGAACAGAAACGCAGGGCTTTATGGCTACGGCGAGGCTCCACCACGAAGAGGTCACCCCGACCTGCGCCTCAGGAACGGCCCAGACACCAGGGCCCCTCCTGAGCCCAGAGCGGCCCTCACTTCAGCGCCTGGACTGCAGTGATCTGCGGCGCGCCTGCTCCCGAGCCGCCCCGCAACGGGGCGGGGCGTGCGCCGCGCACCTTGGAGCCGAGCTTCGGCAACGCCGGCAGGCTCTCCGCCGCCGAGGGGGCCAGAGGCGGCCTTGCCCGGCGGACGCCACCGCCGCCAGCGTCGGCGTCGGGCGGCGGCGTCGCGGGCCCCCCATGACGTCCTCGGACAAACAGGCATCGACCGCACGTGAGGGTGACCCTTCGCTGGAGTGATCTTGGGCGCGGGCCCACGGTGGCCCCGGGATCGCCGAACGACATGCGACAGCAGCGGCTTGCGCGCTAGGGCTCTCCGACCCTCGAAAGTCACCCCCCGCGCGCGGCCGGGGCACAACCGAACCTCAGAGCTGCAACTGCAGCTGGCGAAAGCGTCGCAAGCCGACGCCGCTCCACCGGGCAAGCCCAAAACCATAAACGAATCGACGCGTACGTGTACGTGTACCGTGTACAATGGAGAATCACGCGCAGCCCCTTGACGCCCAGGGGAGCCCAGGACACATCCCGAGGATCCCCCGTCTGCAGGCCAGCATAGCACCACAGGGGGGTCAGAGGAGCCCGAAAACGCCCTCAGCTGGCACCGGACGGACCCCACCTGGACCAGGATGGCCACACGGCAGCCCTGGGCGCAAGAGATAACCCAAGACCACGAGGCTCCTGACTATCCCCCGATGGCCCCCACAGGGCCACAATACATATAGCACCCAGGACCAAGGTCAATGAAACGACATAAACGATGTCGGTTCAACTATGTGTGCATATATATATATATATATACATGCACACAGACAGAAACATCTATACATATACGCACAAGTGGCATGCGTGTGCCCAGGCTCATCAAAAAAATAAGATACACTCTCCTGAATCGTGTGTGTGCGGATGTATCGTGAACGCCCCCAGATACAAGCATCACACGGATAACTGGTCCCAGGGGCCTGCCTGCATCGTTCGAATAACGGGAAAACGGCCGAACGCCGCCGCTGCCGCAAGCCGTCGGGCAAGGCTTCCTGACCCTGCGTATGTTGTGTGTTGTGTGTTGCGCGTTTTGAATGCGTTGTGCGTCAAGTGCGTTTGTGTGGTTGTGTGGTTGTGTGGCGCGCGTATGTATTACCTGTTACAGGTGTTGGGCGCGTTGCGTGTGTATCGTAGGTGGTGTGGTGCGTGATGTGTGTGAATGGCGATGTGTGTGGTTTGAAATCACAGGAACCCGCAGGAGTCACAAGAGGTCGCAAGGGGCCGGCGTCAGGAAACTCCCGAAAGCACCAGGAGGTTTGGGAGGAACCCAGGGGCATCAGGAATCGCAGGGGGGAGGCCCGAGAACTGGCACCAAACGGCCAGAAACATTACAATAGAAAGGAAATGTGATGTTGCCGGTGCGAACCCCATCTCAATTTGATATAAGTATGAAACGTTGGTGGATTAATACATTAATTCAGCCGTCATGCGTAACGTTCATGTTGCCTTATGTAAGTTTCCGGTCGGGCCACCTCTTCTGAGAGATGCCATTCCGATTCCTGCTACGTGTTACGTCGTTTCGTGTTCTATGTCATGTCGTTGCCTGTTTATGTGTTTCGTTTTCTCCTCTGATTCGTGTTAGTTCCTTCTCTGTTTCACTTCTTTCTTGGGTCTTGAAACCGCAAACCTCAGAGACGAACCTACTGTTTAAATCGAAGGCGGCGGGGGCTGGGGGGTAGCAAAAGTTCGTCGTTATAACGGAATGTGTGTTACACGTGTAATTGCCAGTTTCGTCCCTTCCTATCGCCCCTTCCTTCTCCTTCTCTCTTGTTGTTTCTTCTCCTGATTCCGATCGGGGCCCCGAATTTCCACTTACTTCCAGAGCAACGAAGTCACCCATAAATTTCTGAGTCTCCCATGCCAAAGCGAAAGAAACCAGAAATCCAAAGAGGTGCTTATTCAAGACCGCACATGCACAAACAAGCCCAATACAATGCATTTGTCTAAAACAACGCTCGGGATACACATGGCCATAACCTGAGAAACCTCGGAAACATTCAATGTCGACCGATACGTCGCCTTTTTGGACCTCTCTGAAAAAAAGCAAAGCGCCATTGCATAAACATTTCCTGCCGACGGAACGCAACCAAGAAAAACTTGCAAACTTAGCACACAGCAAAAAGGCAAACTTTCCTTTACCAAAACATGATCTATGTCTAACAAACAGCGAACGAGAGCCGCCGCCGCTGCGCCCTCAACGATCGCTGGCCGCGCGAGAGCCCAACGGCACCCACGGCGCGCGGGCCACGGCCAGCGCCCATGAATACCGCGCGCCCGCTGCACGCTCGCGCTAGAATCACTGCGGCGTGGATGCGCGCCGCCCCCCACGCCCCGACGGCCGCTGCCGGCCAATCTGATAATCTGGCGCCGCTAACTGAGCGCCGCCGCCTCGCCGAAAATGGGGCGCGCGTGCTTCGCGGCCGCGGCTTGCAAGTCGGGGTCGCAGTCGCCCTCGCTCCTCCACAGAGCGCGGGCAGGATCTAAGGAGCTCCACCGCGGCGCTCATCTCCGCCACCCAGGCGCCCACGGGAGCGCTGGCGGGATGCGCCCGAGCGCCCGCGACGGCGATTACTTCCCCACCGACGTCGACGCGCGCCACTCGCAACGGGGCCATCTCCTTCCGCGGCAGAGCAAGTACGCCAGCCCGCTGGCTGGGGCAGACGCCGCAGTCTCCCGCGCCCGCCCCAGATGGTCGCCGCGCGCCTCCGCCAC